TTTTTTTTTTTTTTTTTGGGGGGGGTCTAGGTGTTTCAGGTTTGGGTCATCTCAAGCGAAACACATGTAAATAAAATCAGCATTGACTAACAAAAAGAATCAAGCCTAGCACTTTGGTTTTCATTTCCTTACCTTCTGAAAAATTACAGAGTACTTGAGCCCCAAATTAAAAATGTTTCTTGACATTCAAGTTACATGACCAACATCATCCAACAACAAAGCTTCAATGTAACACACCGGAACTCCAAACCTTTTTCTCAAAATAGAAATTTTAAAAAATCGATTTAGATGGCTCTTAGCAGCTACTGAATGATCGCTTCCCTTTGCATCATTCGCATAATTAATCACTTAGGACCCCAAATCGTAGGGCCCTACGATGCTAGGGATTCCTTTCCTTAAAAAAAACATGGAACTATAGTATATTTGATCTACCATTGATGCCAAAATTTAGCTTGTCGTTTCTTTAGTGAACCTTATGGTAAGGGTGAAAAAAGTTCAATGGTTTGACTGGAATAATTTCAATCCTGTGCAACAATAATTAGCTGTAATTTGAGAACATATGATGATATACCTTCCAACAGAGAAACTCTGTCGGGACAGGTTTCATTTTTGGAAATTCGGCAGATGAATCTTATGCAATGCAACAGAAAACGTCAAATGCATCTTACCTTAATATCTGACTGACACTAATCTGGTACTATAGGCACATTGGCTGGAACATACAATAAAATAAAAAGAAACCCTTTTTCCCTTTGTTCTCCTTGTAAAATACCTGACATAATGTTTCTTTACAGCCTGAAGATGGTGAGATTTTATTATATGAAATGAGAATGACTATGTGTAAACAAGGCTATGAATTAGTTTCTTACAACAGAAATCTTGTCACCACTCCGATAACTCGCTCTGTTCAGGCACAACTTCAGAATGGGGCTGGCCCTTGTTAAAACGATTCAGAAACACTAGACTTAGTGATGAATTATCACTCCTCCTGCACAAGCATGTTATCTATTCAATTTAACCAAACATGAATATGTTGAGCACATTGAATCCAAGCAAAGCCACATTAAACCTTGCCCTGAAACTTCTGCATAGAGTATAGTTAAATGATGGTTTACTCTTAGAAATCTCTATACAAGGATCAGACACGAGTGGACCCTAGTATAATGTCCATGTGTAAATGACAGGCTGATGTGGTAGCTTTTAAACAGAAGTGCGACACACTTCAAACCATTGGGCTGTCCTCAATAAGAGGAGGATAAAAGAACCAGTTGGCATGTAATGTATGAGGACAAATGCCACACCATTTATGCAACCATGTTTTGATGATTATATGATACCAGCTTTTACGTTTGTACATGTAAATTCTATTTCAGTAAAGCTTCAATAACTCATATAATGGTATTACAATGCGAATTGCTGACCTTGATACTGAAGAGAATACCGCCATCAGAAACCTGCTGACCAGCTGCTAGATGAAGCCCACGGACATAGCCCGCTGATGGTGCCTTTACAACATGCTTCAAAAAGGAAAAATAAAAAAAGTTCATGTCAAATATTGCACAGGGAAAGAAAAGTTTAGATGCAAAATCCAAAACTAGCAGCAGTACAACCTCCATCTTCATTGCCTCTAAAACTAATATAGGTTGTCCTTCCTCCACCTTTGTCCCATCCTTCACCACAACCTTGACAACCAAACCAGCCATGGGCGCAGCAACAGTCCCCTGAGGGTATGATGATTTGTCAAATCGGGGTTTATGTTCCGTTTCATCTTCATCAGACAATTCAAGGCCGGTTTTCTGCCTGAAATGATGATGATGTGATCCATACCATATATCAATGTGCTTGGTCTGATCCTGTAGCCCAAATTGGAATCAACAAATTAACAGAAGTTTTTAAATAAAAAATTGAACCATATTCAATAATGCTGATTAATTATTCTATGTAGACCTCACAACTGCATGCAGATAAAGGGATTTACCTTGGAGTAAACAGCTAAGCTAACATCCATGTTTACACCATCAGCTTCGACTCTGAAGTCATGGTTGCCTATACAAGTTACTTTGACCTCCAAACCTGGGAAACTCTCTTCTTCTGTCTGCACAGACATATAGAAACCTTGCTGATGGAATGACTCAGTGGAACAAAACAAAGAAAACAACTTGCACATAAGATACTATATTTCCAAAGTTGCAAATATGGCCAATTAGCATAAGACTACCTCAATCAGATAGCTCCCATCTGGTTTATAAGTGGTTGAAAGTTTCAATGACTTTGAGCCACTGCTATCATATTCATTCTCCCACTCAAGTTCCACTGTATGCCTAGCACAATGATGGACTCTGAAAGGGGGAGAAGAATACCATATGGAGATTATGCTGTCGCCACCTGAATAGGGAGATATAAATATTATAAGGGCCTTTAAGAAATGGCATACATTTGAAGAATGGGACCTTCAATTTACCAGGAAGATTTTCTCTGAATAAAGAATTTTCCTTTTCAATGAGACACGCAGCTGCCAGTGTAGCACTAAATTTAGCAGCACCAAGCACTTTGTCCACTAACAGTGAATTACTAGGGTTGACAAACAGGTCATCTTTAAAGTGTTCAATAAAATGGGTTTCCACATCGCCATTTTGAAATGCCCGATGGTTAGCAAGTTTTAGAAGAAAATTGATGTTGGTTGGTAAACCTGCAACCTGTCTAAGAAAATTAGCATTGAAAAGGATCGAAAAGAAATTAAACTGCAGGATCAATATGAAATTGCAATTTGCCTTCCACATTTTTCTTAAAGCTGTTTAAATTTTGCTGCCTTGTGGGGGTCATATGAGATAGCATATGAGATTGAATGATTGGAAAATATGCTTTGATGTGCAGAGGATGCAACTCTAAAATTAGGTATACCTGAAACTTTGATAAGCAATCCTTCAGTTTTACCAATGCCGCAGCACGATTTTCTCCCCATACTACGAGTTTAGCAATCATAGGATCATAATGCATGCTAACAGTGTCTCCCTGTTCAACTCCAGTCTCAACTCGAACTGCTCAATGACAGATTTAACATAAGCAACCGACAGAAATAACCAAAGGACAAGAGATGATAATAAAAGCCTTGTTTAGCTGTGAAGTCCTTGGATAAAACAAGTGGTGCTTAAACAATATAACCCAACTAGAATGTTGGGGATGGATGCCCTTTTTTTCTTTTCTTTTCGGTTGACTGGGGATGAATTCTTTACTTTACTATGTATGAGTCATATGGCTATTGTAATGTGACTAACCTTGTGTTGAGACTGGAACATGATGATAGTGATGAAGGACTCCAGTTGCTGGAAGGAAACCTTTCGGTACATTTTCAGCATATATTCGGGCTTCGAAAGCATGACCTTTCATCACAATGAGTAACTATGAAATCCAGTCACTCAAGAAGTTTGTGGATTCAACATATAGAGTGAGTAAACTCATATTAGTTATAGGATTTTTCATATCCAAGTTATTATGAATATGAAGTATTCACTTTGTGTTATAAAGGAGCTTATCATTTACCTGATGAGATTCAAAAAATCTTGGCATCTTTTTTTATAATTTTAATAGCACATCCATTTTAAGGCAAACTTTTCATAGAACCACCCAGAATATGTTACTCAAATCTGAATAGATCAACCCAGCATTCAGCTTAAAACTAGTCAAGACTCATTTTAGAAGTGGAATTGAATTTGGAAGCAAAGATAAGCTTGGCGAAGACCTCTTTCTTTTCTTTTCTTTTTCTTTTCAAGAAAAAAGAATGTCACCTGATAATGGGACCTGTGACTGACTAATGGGAAGATGTTCTCCGCTTGCAACATGAATTTGCCACTCTACAAGATCTTGGCCAACAATCATTTCAGTCACAGGATGCTCAACCTGCATAAACATTAACTAACCTGTTAGATTCTGAAAAATTCAGACTGAAATACAATAGAACAGAATGGTTAAACCCTAAACCCTAAACCAATAGAACAGAATGGTTAAAGCACCTGAAGTCGGGTATTCATCTCCATGAAATAAAATTGGCCTGAGACTGTATCAACTATAAACTCCACAGTGCCAGCATTGTGATAACCAACTGCCTTTAATAATCAGACAGAGACTTCAAATCATAAGGATATAGAGAGATTTAAAATTACAGGTTAGCTCAATGTCAGTAACTTTTAGCTTTTGATGGGGGCAAAACCCTCTATGCATTGAAGTAGTGACCCATGATTAGATATAACATAGGTCAGCTAAGAATTATCCAACAAGAATGGTGATCAGTAAAAACTTCACCATCTTAACCCGATCAGGGGCCAATTGAAAATTAGGTACAAATTAGATAATTATTCAAAATACTTCACCTTGGCAGCAGATACAGCAGCTTGGCCCAAGTGAGTCCGGAAGTCATTCGACACATTTGGCTGCACCAATGGATTTCCATTACAACTCTACTAGAACAATGACAAATCTACACCGACAATACAGGAAATGATCATACAGCTGGAGCTTCTTCGATGATTTTCTGGTGTCTTCTCTGGACGCTGCAATCTCTCTCATACAAATGTAGAACCTTCCCATGTTTGTCCCCAAATATCTACAATACCAAACATGAGCTTAACTTTTTCAGGATATAGCATCTACTAG